AAAGTCCCGAATAGTCTATTGGTCAAATAAGAACTGTCAAACTCATACAACAACTGTCAAGAAACTGAAAACTTAATTGACGAATAAGCTAACCGGAGGTGGTGAAATCGGCACTAAAACTATTTTACTATTTACCTTAAGGAACAAAAAGTAAGTATACTTTTTAGCAAGGTGTGTTCAATATTACCGTATTTTTTTACGTACTACAGTTAACTTTATAAAACAGATAGATACTTACTTAGAAAATTCACACGCGCGCTTCAATATTTATATGATTAATCTGCCCCACTAAAAATCACGTCACTTTTAAATTTAAGAATAGAACCAACTTGTAGACTTAGCATATACTTCACATAAATAGATAAAACATTTTAATCCTGTTTCACTTATTAACCACTACATTATTCACGAATATGACGAAAATTTGTCTCTAGGGCAGAACATTTTTACTAGGAGTCTTCTAAATAAGTAATGGAAAAATAGTACAATATTTTGCTTATATACCATATTTACGGCATTCCCCTAAAATGTCGCGTTGTACGAATGTAGCTAAAGGGGATTCCTCCGAAAGTTTGAGGGAAATCCCCATCAAACATAAACAGACTGAAAGGATTGCCAGTTCATATATGTAAAATCGGCGGAAAATTCGGATGAATTTTTTTTGGATTCTAGTTTCTAAGTTCTAGTCTAGTTGGTTTCTTATTTCCTATTTAGGTATTTCTTCTTCTTAGTGTTCCACAAATTTACAAAAATATCGATACTTTACTCGATACCAGTATCGTATCAGATTTATCAATACCGAGAAAATTATGGAAACAAAATTATCGATATTGTTAGGTATCGAGTACTTTTCAATTTATTTTTAAAACTTTCGATTGAGTAATATCCGTAATATCAAATATTATCCGAGAAATTTCGGAACTTGGAGTTTGGAACTTATCACCAATGAGACACCTAATAATCATACTAACAAAATTTAAATTAATATGTATTAAATTGTCGGTACAAAAATAAATTAGAGAAACAGTAAAAAGTAAATCAGGATTAAACTGTATTAAATAATTTTTTACTAATTGATAAAATTAAATATAGTAAATAGGTCCATCCACCAATCACGAGAAGCTGGCAACACACGCTCTAAACATAAGCTATTGTCTATAGAAGTTTTATACGTGGTAGAGCCATGCTGCAGCTATATTAGTAGTATAGTTGTTGCACGAATGGGTCGGCTCGACCGGGGTAGGACCACGCTCTCACAGTGTTTTGTTTGGTGAGTGTTGAAAACCGGAGACCCGTTTTACTGGAAAAGAGGCATTCCATCTTAGTCCTCACGGCTGACAACGCATCTGCATTTTATTTGCAAACGAGAATAGATATAGATGTCTATAGGCCACAGCAACCACTTACTATCAGGTGGAGACTGTACTCGCTTGTCCCCCTTATCCTATAAAAAAAATACTGCTGAAAATTCTGTCAACTCTTTCTATAAGCGGTGCGACATCAGAGAGATCATTTTCTACGCTAAGGCATGTAAAATCTTGGCTGAGAGCAACCATGCTAGAAGAGAGGCTGATAAGTTTAGCTCTTCTAAATATTCATCCAGAGATAGCCCCAGACGTCACAAATATTATCACACGATTTGTCAATAAAAATAGAAGACTTCCATTTGTTTTATAATGTGTGCAATAAAATTGTGTATTGTGCAATAAAGTCTAATTTACTCGACATATTTTATTATTAGTGACCCCCTACAATTTTTTTTATTTTTAGATTACAGATCCGTTGGGCCATGTCTAAGTATCTATACTCTGCTTCTACTGCGAAAATCCTATCACGCTGAGAAACTCCAAGTATAGCCCCCCATAGTTCGCTACTATAAACCATAATACTGGTATGCAGTGTTACCACTAAAGCTAAATTGTATACGCAAAGTTTTTTTTTTCTATAGAATAGTTATTTGGGATCAGCAGGCGCTCAATAATTTCTTATATTTACGCGAATACTACACATTAAATTAAACAAATTTTACGTATTTTATAGCATTTTTCAACTGTTTAATTCTTTACGTATGGGAACCTTCCTCTACATATAACTTTTAGTGATTTAAACGTTGAAGGTAGCCATCGTTAACTATGACATTAGGACGTCAAACACCTTAGTCCATCCCGCGACCATAAATGACCCGAAAGTAAGTCAAACAATTTGAATGACTTAATATTACTAAGTCGTAGTAAGACTAAGTCGTTTGCCATAAAATAAAATATTCTAATCGAATAAACTATGTAATGTCGTGATATTAGTGTAACTTATATTCACGTCGTATATTATATAGTGTTTTCCGGTCATTCTTATTATATTATAGCGATAACGAATTGTAATCTACAGTAGACACAATAGAGCATGTTAATGTATCACTGCGAACTTCCTTCCGCCTAGTCAAAATAATTGGTTAGTATCGTCAAATATATACCCCAATGAGGTGTAGAAAACCGCTTTTTAGGGACGCGAACCATTTTTTTAAATATTGTACCAGTGCTAGACCACAATGGTGGTAAACGGTGACTAAGCCCTAGACCTACCGGCTTCTTTATTTCTATAACCTATTTATTTGCCAATTCATTGCTATTTAAACGTATTTACCTTTATTATGTAGCTGTACCTAACATTACAAAGCTTTTCAAAAGTTTTATTTTCAACATTATAATAAATTGGTTTGTAATAAAAAGGATCTTAATTTCTTATACAATGATTAGGTATATTATTATTACGAAAGGAATCACGTTATTACAAAATATTCGTGTACAACGTGGTACAGCTACTAGCTCTAATTTGAGGAAACGATAAGTTTAAGCTGTTTCGTGAAACGTTTTTACAGCTTGTTACCACACATTTTACCATGGTAATTTAAAATTCAAGTAAAAGCCGGCGAGAAAAACAATCAGCGTGCGTGTCCTTTCGAAGCTAATAGCGTCGACCTTGTAATTTCGAGACTGTCCTGCTTACTGTTCAATGTTCATACTCGCTATCTCGCGCTCTATACCTATACATAGCATGCTAATGTTTACTCTAAGGGGTATGCTGTATATTATAAATCCTGCCTCACTCCGCGCTTTAGGCATGTTTATACCTACGCTGCGTGGATACAAGCGGCTAATTTCGCGAAGTTGTTACGCGCGCCTTACGTTAACAAAAAAGTTTTTTTTGTTAACGTAAGGCGCGTTTAGTTTTCTCTTATAAGTATTTAGCCACTTGATATTTATTTTTGAGATTTTATTCAAGTATGGCCTCTCAAAAAGCCAAATGCGGGTGCTTAAATAACAATAGGAATGTCGACTTTTCATTCTTTACTATTCCTAAGGATACCGAAGAGTAATTAATATATTATTATTTATAGGTAGGATTTAAATAATTAGGTCTAGATAATGTTACTGACACGAGTTTATTATTGATTAGTGACTCGACCACAGCTTCACATTTTTTTATTTTTTCGCGTGTAATGCCAACTACCTTATAAACGCTTCAGTGTAAGTAGACCTCCCAGTACTAGTGACTGCCTACTAATGCAAGATCAGCCTATACCGGTTATTAGTTTAGCACTTGGTCGATAAAAGAAAGAAAATAAAAATAGCACTCTTTCATTAATAAGTGACAGCTCCGTGGTGCAGTGGCTTAGTAATGAGTTGCAGCGCTAAGGGCCACGGGTTTGATTCCCGGAAGTTTTTGTATGGCCTACAAATAATTGTTCTGGGTCTGTTCTATGTATGTAAACTGTCCCTGTGGTACAGTGGGGTAACTTTTTTTAACAAAATAAAAAAGCTAATACATTCGACACCTCAGTGTATTCTACTACCAACTAATATCAAAGGAATCAATTTGTTTTCCCACAACACCTAACCCTACAGTATGGGCGGCCTTAACAAAGGCGCGTAACGGGCTAAGTGATACAGACACTCGCACGCGGACGTTTTGGATGGGTGGATTTTGGAACGTAGTTATTATTTATTCTGTGAGATAGGCTAATTTCATGAAGGTCACTTCCGAGGCGTGCAAAGTATTATCACAGAATAAATAATAGTACTCCGTGCAGAAGTTGCACTCGTTTGATGTTGACTGTGCCGGCGTTTTAACAGCCTACATAGTTATTATTAATCAGGTAAATCGCGCACGCAAGCTAAATAAAACTTTATCGCTGCGCGCGAGCGTCCGTATTACTTTGCATCTTTACGTTAATAAGGGCTGTCAATAAAGAATAAAAAAAAATACGTTGTGAAATGGTAAGTTACTTAGGTAAAGTACCTTATACTACCTTATAGTACCTATTCTGAATATGATCGACCATATTTCCGCTATTATGTGAGTTAATTGATGTTGATGCCCAACGCATGCAACTTGCAAGACCATCCGTCGGGAATCGCGATGCTTGGCTCGTAAGATATAGGTAGATAGTGTAAACAACAAATTTGATCGTCGAAATCGAAAATCTTGTAAACAAAGTTTTAATTTCAGTAATTTGTGTTATTATTACTTAAAATATTTTAATTACAAGAAACAAGTATAGGTATGTAAGTAGGTACTTGGGTAGTGAAGTAAATTTCAACTAAGTTTCCCGATTGCGTTCTGCCCCGAATAATTACTATTTGATCCTAAAATACCTCGGTAAAATTAATTTAAATAATTAGGTTAGACAGAACCGCAGAATATCAGCATTCCGACGAAGTCTAATAGGCTTAAGTACGAAACTCGGTAACAGGCCGAATATGAACCTAAATTTCGTTCAAAATGCCTAAAGAAAAAATGTAAGCAAGGTCGTTCACTTAAGAAAGGGGTAAACAGCATTTGGTCATTGATAATATTTTATAAGATCGGTGCTAATAGTAGCTTATAGTACCGGGCTTTTCAACAAGAACTTTGTTTTTCAATTGGGGCAAAACCAAAAACATGACAGTTTTGACATTTAGTTTTTTGACCTATTCGTAGTAGATGCTTTGGCAATTGCTACAATGAATTCAATTTCGCTCGAAAATCGCATTAAAATAATTAAAATCCACTATGAAAATGGTGGTTCTGTTAAAGTTACGTTTCGTAAAATTCGTGATATTTTCGGACAACATAATCGTCCTTCTGAGACCGCTATTAAGAATTTGGTCGCTAAATTTGAATCGACAGGCTCGGTACAAAATGTGCCAACACCAACGCGTGTTCGACCGGGTCGTTCAACCGAAAACATCGCAGCCGTGTGCCACAGTGTTGAAGAAGATCCAAATTTGTCAATTCCTCAACGTTCTCAACAATTGGGGTTATCCAAAACCACCACATGGCGAATTTTGCATAAGGATTTGGCTTTGAAGCATTACAAGGTTCAACTGGTGCAGGAATTGAAGCTGACCGACCATTTACATCGTCGTAGATCCGCTCAATTCATTCAGGAACAGCCCGCTGGTTTTTCTGAAAGCATCATTTTTTCAGACGAAGCCCATTTTCACTTGTCAGGGTACGTCAACAAGCAAAATTGCCGCATTTGGGCTTCTGAAAATCCTAAAGAGATTATTGAGAAGCCTTTGCATGCTCAACGTTTCACTGTATGGTGCGCTATGTGGTCTGGAGGCGTGATTTGGCCGTTTTTTTTCGAAGATGAGGCTGGAAATGCGGTAACGGTCAATGGATCACGCTATCGCGAGATGTTAACATTTCAATTTTGGCCTATTATTGATGACATCAATATCACAAACATGTGGTTTCAACAGGACGGTGCCACATGTCACACAGCCAACGAAACGATCAATTTATTGCAAACCAAATTTCCCGATCGCATAATTTCACGAAATTCAGCTGTTAAATGGCCAGCCAGATCGTGTGATTTAACACCACTGGATTATTTTTTGTGGGGCTATGTTAAGGACAGAGTCTATACGGAGCCAATCGAATCGATCGCGGCCTTAAAACTCAAAATCTGTGACGTGATTAACGAAATATACCCGCCATTTTGCCAAAAAGTGATTAAAAACTTTGTTGAAAGAATCGACATCTGTCAGCGTGGTCGTGGTGGACATTTGCCAGATATCATTTTTCATTCATAATTGCCAAACTTTTCTCTTCGTAATACAATAAAAATTTGAATCATCTTCATCTAAACTCTTTGTTTTATTTTGTTTTAGAGAACAAAGTTCTTGTTGAAAAACCCATTAGTACCTAACTTGAAATATATTTTTTAATTCCTATATTATTATACTTTCACATTATTTTAAATTTTTAGGAATATTATTATGGTTCTTTGTTATCCATGTATACTTACTTACTTGTTATTGAATAAACCGATTTCATCGATTTTTTTTTATTTAATTGGATATGTGTTCAACTTAATAGCACATAGGTAAATATGATAAAGATTTGATGAATACCTCAGGAGATGATGGATGGAACACCGAACACCTCAACTGACAACAGCTAATTATTTTTGATCGTTCTAAAAGCCTAGTAGATTATTTAGTTTAGTTTAAAGTAATATATAATCTATGGAAAGTACCTTAAATCATTATTTAAGCTTAAATAAATCATTATACTGGATATTGCCTATTTTGATTTTTAGCATATTCGTTATTTGTAAGTTGTCAGTTGTAGGTATATGCATTAGTGTGCACGACTAGAGAAGTGACTATGTAATTTAGATTGCCGATTAGATAATGCTGAAATGAATAAAATCTTTTTAATTGGATATGAATTGTTTATTATAATTTTAAATATCTATATAATTGAATACAAATATAAAATACAAAAACAATACTGTTACGAGCTTGGGGTTCGAGACAATTAAAAACTGCCAATTGAATTACCAAAATTAACACTTTAATTACGCAACACTAATTACAATCTAAAATCACACTAATAATAAAACACAGTACGCCGTTATTTCGCTTCGAAGTATTCTCTTGTATCGCCAATTCAATACTGCCTTGGTCGTGGTCTATACCGGCCTTATATAGGGCCTCAGATAATTTCCGGAACCTTCTACTGTAGCGACATCTAGAATGTTCGAGTACATATCGGTCCCGAAATTTCTGGAAGGATCTCGACTCTCGTAGTTCTGCTACTCGACACTAGAGGGCGCTAGTGTAACTAGTGTTGCCATGTACAAGACATTAATAGTGGCGCGCAACACTTTCTTTTACTTGACACTAGAGGGCGCTAGTGTAACTAGTGTTGCCATGTACAAGACATTAATAGTGGCGCGCAACAATACAATCATAACAAGTAAAATAGTAGAGGTTATGTAGAATAAATATAGATAATAGAACGTGTTTCCATTATATTTTTTGACTTTATCACTTTTATCATGTCAAGTATAATAAAAATAATAAGATCTACTAAAACAATAGAAAGGCTGCGCTGATTAAAAATTTATGACAGATTATACGCTAAATGTGGCGAAAAATATTATCAACACAGGAGACTTGTGCATGTTTTAATTAGACGATCTCTACAATAACTGAATGACTAAGTGACAAAAAACAACCTAAACCGGTGAGCCTAGCGATTTGAAATTTAAAGTAAACATTCTTTCTCCTAGACGTGCTTATAAAGGGATTTTGGTAAATTCCCACCGGCATAGGATCCATGCAGGTTATCTTACGGTCCACGGCTAGTATACATAAATTAAACATTTAACTAGTGAGTGATATTAACGCGAAAGCCAATATACAACTTTAATCCACGTCAAGATAAGATTGTGTATTGGTTTTAGGCTTTCGCGGTTTTTGCGAGGTTAGCAAATTACTACACGGACGTTGCGATGCGTCAATTTGACCCGACTTTTGAAGTTAAATATTTTAATATCTTAAGAATTTAAAGCTTTAGGAAATAAATAATATTTTAAAGATATCTAACATGATTAACTAATGGTTAAAGAAAAAATAGAATCCTAATTAAAAGTAAAAACCGACTTCAAAGGATTCTTCAAAAATGCTTCAAGTTGGTGCCAAGACAAAGAGTATAAAAGTATTAAAGCTCACTATCTTTCTCTGTATCTCTGTCTCTCTTACTCTCTCTCTCTCTTTCTCTCTCTTCTGAAGGTATTTGTAAGTTAAGTAAAGCTATTTGTAAGTTAGATAAAGGCGAAAATATTTTTTACTTTTGGTTCTTTCAAGTCGGTATTTACTTTTTATTAAAATTCTTTTATTTTTTTACGTTTTGACTGACTAAGAAATTGAAAAGGCTCAAATATCGTCTAAATGTATCTGATACTCACAACGCTCGATGTCCGATTCATGCTTGATGGCCGACGACTTTGTACCGAGGAGATAACTAACGTGGTTCATGGCTTACAGCGTTAGTCGTGGAGAAGAGGAACTTGTAGTTAAGTAATAGCTGCGCGGATCAATAGATCTGCGAGATTAAGTTGCACTTGCCGCGGTCAGTCCATGAATGAGTGACCATTTTCTTAACATACAGAGACTGAGAGAATAGAGACTGTAAAATGTTAATAAGTTTATTATTACTTTATTACTTTTTAGACAGATGAAAGAATATAAACATGAAGCATGAAGCCTCCTAAACATATTGGCCTATAAACAGAGCAATCTTTTTTAACTTATGCGTACAAGTTACCTTACTTAAATTATTAAGTTTACATTCATATTTAAATCGAATGTTAAAATAAACTTTTATAATGTATTTAATTCTTAATTATTAAATGTTTGTAATTACCAACAGCAGCTATTATGTACTCCGCATCCCTGTTTTTTACTTCCCCGTTAAGACATTTTATAAAATGTATAAAATATATGTAGGCATATACTTAGTAAAGTATCTAACTATTTATATTAACAATATGTTAAAAAAGAAATTCCGGAGAAAGTGTATGTGGCAGTAAATATTTTTTCCAAAGACTTTAACTCGAAAACACAATTTTCCGATTTGATTCTTGGGGAGTTTTTTTTTTAAGTTTATCGGTAGAGTCACTTAGAATTGTTTACATTTGATTTGATTTATTACATTCAGATTATTCCTAGGAACATCTTTAATTATTTTACTTTTTAATTATTTTAGAACTATCATGGTAAAAATTCAGTTAAATTTTTTAGATATTCAATTTAGTGCATTAAACTATTTTTGTAAATCTTTTCACCGCTTTCTTAACAATCATTTTTCAAAAAATTATTATCATTTATTGTCCTTGTAATTATAAATCACTATCTAACGCACACGCTGACAAATCAAAATTAGTCACCCGTTTTCGGGCTGTCAGGTCGTCTATACGCCAGTATATTCTTAGTCTATGGTAGAAACGGTAAAAACAAGTGCTCCGATGGTGATGTCAATCTCAAGATAAGATGTCTGTCTGCTTAGGCATTTTGAGATACTATTGACAACTGTCTGATGGCTCAAGTTGCTGTCATAATGTCCCAAAACCTACGCAATGTGGGTACTATAAAGGATTTTTATTACTTCATACTGAGCTAAAAATGAAGACATGGCTTAAAAAACAGGCATGCAAGGCAATTTTCTTAATAAAAAAGTACTGCTAACGCCATAGACATAGTATCTTATAGACTAAACATTCAGTGACGTCATCAGCGTGTGAAAGGAATGCACGTATATAGTTAGACATAAGAGTAAGGGAGAAGCAAATCTATATTTCTTGTCTTTTTCTAGGTATGCGTTTTTGATTGTTTTCCCTCCTTTATTTGACATTAACGATGTCAAGCTCTTTTGAATAATATTGATATTATAAGCAAACAGGTAATTGAATTTAGTGTTTTTTGTGGATCTTAGTTATTAGGTAAGGTGAAAAAGATGGTAAGTTGTAGCATTTTAGGATGCAACAGCATCAGTCAACGAAAAATTGATAATATTACCTTTCATCGGTAAGTTTGTTTTGTGCTTACATTTGCTACTTGCACTGATCAATATCTATTGTTTTGAATATAAAGTGTAACATTTCATGTTTTTAATGGACTTTGTGATGTATTTTGTCAAATATTTGGACTCCCAGATTGTAAATTCTTCATGATAATGCTCCTTAATTTGAACGGTCATTCGAAAGCTTAAAGTCATAACAAACGTGTACTTTTTGATTTGGTAGGATTATAGAAACTTTAGGGATATCAGCGAGTACAATAATGTTTTCGCATTGGTCAATAATAATTGTTATTGTGATTAGTAGTTATGTCCATAAATATGAATCACATAATGTTATACATATACATACACTTTTATGTTCAGCTTTAAAGGTAACTCCTTATTGCCATACAACTCTTCAATCATTTTTCATATTACATAGACGTCACAAATAATATGTAAGTATTACAAGTATATATACAAGTATAACCTGAAAACATGTTTGGATTCAAGTACATAAACATTGGGCAAAGTATATTTAATTTCACAAAATATGTATTGCCTGAAATTAGATGCACAAAACTTTATTGCATTCCATTAATTCTATTATACATTAGCAACAATTACATTACAATATTTATCAAAACAGAATATGTCATGCTAATATAAAAATAAATATAAATATAGATAAACGGTAAAGTGGCGTTTGGCCCCCCCAGGTTCGGCAGGAGCCGCCTGAAGGCAGCCCCGGTCCGTTCCAGTTTGGGAGCCAAACATCGTACACCACCCCTGGAATGATATGAGGTAGCAGATAATCTTACACTGCATGGTAAATTAAAATAGAATATTATAAAACATTAGTTTTTATTTTATATACCAACATATTACAAAAAACATCCTTTATTGATGCTTTACAACGTATATTAACTAAAATATTTTACCACCTTAACCATTAGGTAACATGATTAAGCCACCTAACCATAAGTAAGTCACCTAAAAAGGCCTTCCATAGATATCCTCATAGGATGACTTGCCATAGTTGCCACGCCTGCGTGAAAATATGCGTTATGCTGGTTGGCCACCGCAGTTTTTTATTATTATAAGTTTTCATCGGGAAAATGCTGCTGCCCCATCCCCATCTTGTATTATTTGCTTACGACGCGGGGTAATATCATCCCGTGTACAGACAAATATTCTTGTACGCCACAACTTGCCGCACACAAGACACTAACTTAGCAAAACATGCAGGAAATCTCGGGAGTAGGCTCATAACCGTGTTTTGTACTACAAAACCTAAGTGGAAACCCTTTCTTTTCGAAGGTCTGTGTTCAGCACTGAACTTGTGATGGAATGGTATGTTAAAACATTATTGATTTTTTTTTAAAAATAACAAAACTCGACAAGGAAATTTTTGTTTATAATTTAATATTTTTATTCTCAATTAATATTTAAGTACATACATAACATATTGTTATTTATTAGCGATATCACACTTTGTGCTATTAGCGCCTTCACTTAGTGCCGTCGAAATCCAAAGAGTTTATTGAATGTCCAGTAAAATCGTCGATGCGCCGTTGAATACAGAATGATGATTCTGTTTTTACGCCGTTTCCGCCTGTAGTTTTTGTCACAGAAGTTTCAAGAGAAATTAATTAATCATCTGAATTATAAAAGAACATTTTTTTATGGTAACAATAAAGTTTTTTGTATGAATGTAAGTGCTGTGAATATAAATAAGCCCCTAACGGGGGAAATGGAACAATATCTGGTAACCCACTGAAAGTACCTCCCGCCTATTTCTATCTCAAAAGCATACGCGAATGCTTTATCTAGTCAATCCTCTATCTACGGCTAACGCGATTTCTGACGCTCGACCTCGACGCACTGTTGCCAGATGTATGATTTAAATAGTATTCATGCGATTTTTTACAAGTTATATGAATGTACGATCGAAACATAAAAATCGTACGCAATTCATACGACTTTTAACTTTTTCTAAAAATATAACCGTATGAACTACTTAACCATTACCTACATCACTATATTTTTATGTGATAACCAGATCACTAGTAGGGAATTTCCCCGACGTTAAAATATTAATCAAATCTCGACCAATTTACGAATCGCTTAGGTACATCACTATATTTTGTATGTGACGTGTTTGTGTTTAAATATTAATCAAAATCGACCAATTTAAGAATCGCTTCTATTTTTTGTTTTTATACAAGTGAATTAATGAGTACAATATAATATACGTAACTCGGCAGTACGAGTATTACATAATAATGGTAAGCATGCGTTTTGTTTGTTTACTTTTCTTTACACATCTTTTCTCGTCGTTCTTGAGAACAGTTATCAACAGTTTGATACTTGTTTCATAACACGTATTTGATTGAAAATATCAATAGTTTCTTGTTTATTATAAAGGACGAACTTCTAACAGCAGGGCCGAGTCGCCCTAGCCCTAGTAGTTTATATGAAGATAAAGACTAATAAGTTTGAGTTCTTATTTTTCAACTTTTGTATAATTTAATAAAAAAAAGTTTAAAAAAAACGTATGTACTATTTTTATTTAATGACCTTTTTAGGGAATACCACTTTTTATTTACCTATCGTACGATCGTTCTTTCAAAATGTCTGGCAACAAACCTTGACGTAAAAGTCAAAGTTGATCATAGATATATAAATATGTAGAAGTTGATTGACGCTTACGTTCGGACGGTGACGTTTTGTTTGTTTCAGATTTCTAGTAATTATTTATGTTTCAGAGATTCACAGAGTATCTTTTTATACAGAGATTCTTAGACTACTGTATTTATACTAGAGAACTAGAGAATTTGTTCCTTTTCAAAAATTGGAATCAACGACTTAAAATACAAAAACTTGTATGTAGCTTTATACTTTAAAGCAAGTTTTAAATGTAATGCCTCATAGCATTAATCTCTGATGTGTTATTATAAAAATGTGTAATAAAGCGAAAAAGATTGCGGAGTTATTTACGAAAACTGTTGCAACTACAAAATGTTTCGATCAAAATCTTTGTAAGGTAACCTTATAACTTGCAAATTTTTTCAAATATATGTGCGAGTCTGACTGACATTGAGTACATATATCATTAATGGTATTTGTAATCAATTATTTGGATTATTACTGATTTTGCATATGTCAATAAATAATGTTATATAACCGTATTGATGACCTATTTCATGTAGGTTTATTGATCCTGTAAGTTTTTGTTGTTTCCTCTAGGTAAAAGTAGTTAGCTGCACAAATGGCAGAATGCTAACAGAATTCCAAGTGGGACCAGAGCATCTTAACCAGAGAGGAACATTGCATGGGGGTTTTATTGCTCACTTAGTAGAAGCTGTATCTACTTATGCTCTTACAGCAAATGACTATGTGGAAACTCGAGGAGTCTCTATAGATCTCAGTGTTAGGTACATTTATGAAAGTTTTGATATCTTTTTTATTTTTTAAATTTTTATTGCTTATTTACTTCCAAATAATTTTCAGTTATCTAAATGCAGCAAAAGAAGGAGATAATGTTGAAGTAGAAGCAACAACTAGGAAAGTAGGCAAGAAAATAGCATTCCTAGAAGTTGAAGTACGCAATAAGGATAATAAACAGGTGCTGGCCACAGGTAGACACACAAAGTATATAGGGGTGTAATGTTTAGCTCATTAACTGTTTTGGTTTTTATTAGTCAATATATTGTTATTTATTTATATTATATGAATATGTATATGTGTTTTTTTTGTTGTGTAAATTTTTATCTAACATACCTTGTTAATGTAGGGTAGTTGGAATAAAACACCAAATACATTTTTATTTTATTTATTACATATTAAACACCAAATATCAATGCTAAGTGAATAGTAATACAACATGAATAACCATAAACGTTTGCTAGATCAAAACCATTGAGATGAAATTAATTTTTAGTTACTACCCATATGTTTAAAGAATGGGATTGAAAATGGCGTCGCCTCTATTCACCTCTCGCTCACACACTGTTGCTTTCTATACTGACACCTGCTGGTAAACACTGCAAAAAAATATGTTGCGACATGTGTTTTTTATACATTCTATGACTTTAGTCCAACTTGTCATTAGAATCGAAATACTATAAACTACATCAAATTAAGTCCAGTTTTGCTAATTTGTGAGTTAGACACGTTTTGAGCGTTTTCTTCATAATTATTGTCCATTTTGTTTGTTATTATTTGTGTATAAAATATTTACGTCATTTAGACATGAATAAATATTTTTAAAATGTTCATTTGTCTGTCTGTCAGAGAGAAGGGCTGAACTGATTGTAATAAAACATCACAAATAAAGAGAGAGTAATACCAGCAGTGATTTAAACAATTTTTTGTTTGAAAAATGTAGAGATTTTACTAAATTATAAATATTGATAAGATAAAATATATGGTGTTTAACATTTATCTTAAGTTTAAATAACGACACATTAATAGATCCTACCCCGGCAAAGCCAGAGCTCGCTATTTATAATTGTCATTTTAATATCAATGTACCTACTCGCATATACAATTCTTTTTAAATATTTTCCCATTAATAGAAAATTTCAAATTAACCGAATAATATAATGTTATTACGATATACTGTTATTAGCGGATTTTCGCTATTGATACTGTGTACTGTACTGTGTGGGCTTTTCTAATCCCATTCTTTATCCGTACGGACTGTAGGTAATATGCATTTTATAATTGCATATGCATACACACTCTGCACAGAGTTCTTTGTCTGTATCAATCAGTGGCAAAACCAGTATTTAGAGGATGATCAACATTGGCAACCTCAGCTTTTCCCGTCATCAGTTAGTAGAACAGACAGTCTGTAACTTAGATTTTAAGTAAAACAATATCTATTTATGGTAATAATTTTTAAGTGAACATTTGGTGTACAATCACCACTACCACAACTACCTTTTATAAAGCTAGGTTTCCCCATAAAAAAGCATGCCACTTTTACCTCAATATAGAGTGTTGCTACATTTGTACCTGAAGTTGCCAACTTTTAATGTGTTTGCCAAGTTAGCGGTTCTCATTAGGTCCAAGCCACTTCTTTGAACTATTATGGTATATACCTTCAGATGATGTAAATCTTTCCACATATTAAAATGCATTTCTCATTTAACATAGAAAGCAATTATGGTTATATCTATGTTGATTACATATTAAAATATAAAGAAAACTAACGTCAGCTGAATGTAATGGTCTCATTCATAAAAATTACAAAATTATTACGAGTTTTATAAAATAGAAAACAGCAAAAGGTGGCTAACCATTCCAGACACCACTGAACAGTTCCTTCGTTAGAGAGTGATAGTACCTGTAATTCCACACTTTAATACTAAAATGATCTTGAAAAATTCTACTGCATCCTTTATGTCTTTTCCCCTATAAAGGACAAACTACTATTTATAATAAACTTGCCTGTTAAAAAACAGTTCACACGCGGTATTGAAATTTTTAAGTGAGACCTTTAGAAAAGGAGTCAGACAATAGGAAACACTGTATACTGTATTCTATCTCATTCTGTCGCAAGCTAAATCCTATAGACGTATATGTTTGTCTTTTTAGTGTCGCTGTTTGGTGTCAGATCACAACGATTCTAAAGAAGTTTTCACTTCGAAAAGATAATATTGGTTTACATTTTTTTTTTGGATTACTTAGTGTAAAATGTAAGCTGACAAACTTATGAAAGTGTACTATAAAAACCCTGCTAGTAAACAATGTCAGTTGTGAGAGATTTTCATGAAGTTTTGATCATTCTACATCTTACCAATGAACATTTTAGCTACGAAATATGAAATTTTATGAATAAGACCATAAATATTTAATTATACATAATGATTTAAAACAGAACCGGTAACATTATTAACCCTTTCGCTGTCCCGTGCACTACATATAGGTCATTGCTATTGTCTTACTATTGTGTGTTAAAACCGGACAGTCAACGTGTTAACAAAGTTTTTGAGATTGTTTATAACTCGAATGTTGAATAAACTTTAAACCATTTGACATTTTTTAATTTTTTAAACCATGAAGTTCATTTTCTGTTAAATACAATTTTTAAAATAAAAGTTATGTTTAAAATTAGTAAAATAGTAGAAACGACGGAAATAATTTATATCAAAATAATAAAAAATTGTATAAGAAACAAATATACATATTACTTATACTTAGTGCTACAATTCTTGTTAGCTTAAACTGACACTCAATTATATAGTATATATTATGTTAATAGCATTTCAAAATTGAAGGGTTAAAGATTTGCTAGTTAATACAACTGGATGTATTTTATAATATATCATTGGAAGTGTGATAACTCTTTCTGTTATATGATAGACTGTCATTAACATTATCATTTTTTTGCGCATAACATATATATACTGCTGGCAACATTTAAATGGTATATTTAAGTGTTGCCAGCAGTATCATTATGAACACCAACTATAACATACGACATCAATAATGAATAAATGCTTTAAATTCAAACATCAACACTATTGAATAAACAAATCCTGTATCAGTAATATATTCAGTTATTCAACCTAATCCTCAGGACCAACTTTTATTTTTTGAAAAATGGGGTGGCCATTCAAAACTGTGTTTGTAAATTACACTTCTCTAGGCCTTGGATCGTAAACGACTGGGTGACAAACAAACTAACAGTCCATTTGAAGGCTGGTGGCTAATGCAGCCAATTGAAGCCTGGAACCAACCTCCTACAAATAGTGCTATTATATGGTGATCTCTGGTGGCTAAGCTAAGATGGAATGCTTTATACTTTAAGAGATACCACCACTCTAAAATACTGTTTGGGTTGGTCCTGATTTCATTTCTTTTCACTGTCACTCCACTTATAATAAATTTAACATTTATTACACATTAAACATCAATAATAATTCTTACGACATAAATTATTTTTAGTTTCTTTTTTTTTTCAATAAGTTTAAGTTGCCTCTGCGAATAATCTTTCAGTTACATATTCCGTGTTAGATTTGAGGACCGGCCAGCAGTAAGGGTGCTATAGCTTGAAGTGCCGAAGCAAGATGGCCATATTTGTCAAATGCTATAATTTTTTAATCAAAGAGATATGCATAGTCCGTGGTTCATTAAAAGGCGCACATACCTTTTATTTACTCCTAGCCGATCCTGGATACACTACTTTTTAGTACCAAGCCACTTACGTTTATTGAACATTGAACATCAATAATGGATAAATGTTACAACACCAATTTTTATTAAATATAATATGAAAAAAGAGGGCGTTCAAGTACTACGAAAGCACGGGGTGGAGGGTTCAATTTTTCTTAATGCTTTTGCTGACAAAGGGAACGGGAGTGTATTAAAAATCTTACGTAAGATAAAAAAATATAAAACAAAAATATTTTTAAAGTAATATTTAAAACCTAAATTAATAATACTTACTATTTCTACTATTTTATTATGGTATACCGTATTTCCTATCATATTTTTTTAACATCAGCCTAATAAAATTAAATACCTATCTATTAAACATTATCTTTATTGGCTGATTTTTCAGGTTTATTAAAAATAAAATACAAGTTAAACAAAAATTAAAAATGTATAGTTGCGTGAGTAAAATAGATTAATAGTTTCACTTTTCTATTCGGCCAGGATATAATATAATTTGATGGATAAATTTTTCTGATGATTTATATATTTGGCCTTAAGTGTAAGAAAGCCTTTAAATAATTACGTAAGTACTTATTAGTTTGTGTATATGATTGTATATGATATTACACGTGTAGAATATAGATAATAAATATATGCACATCAATTATTATTTAATATTTAAATTAAGTTTATCCTACATCACCGGATATTCACTTACTTATGCAGTCCACGTTTTACAGTCCAATGAGCACCAACCCACGTACCTACATTTAAACTATTGCCAATTGCACATTTTAGATATTACAATTACAGATAGATAGACATTAAACATTCATAATTAATACATAAAAGTATGTGACATAAATTACAATATAATTAATTTTTTTTTCAGAATACTAATGATTAATAGAACCTGCATCCGTGAATACCTTTAAGTTACTCAGCCCATGTGTTTACACTTTTAGCACCAACCCACTTATATTTTAATGAACATTTATTACCTACACATTAAATAGCAATATAAAAGATAGTACGACAATTTAAATATTTGATTAAACATAGCACTCATCTTGGAATAGTCCGCTTGTTACTGATTTTATCTTACGCTTTCTTTAGAATCAAATCTCCCACATTATAATTTATCTTTATATTTTATTCTTACAAGTTAACATACATGAATATTTTATCGCACCTGTTATTATTCTTTCTACTGTCCTTCCACCATCTTATTTACGTGCTACCGCTGTTTGTAGTAACACCTAATACAATTATTTTTTTTTAATTTCATTCTTTTAATTATTAATTATCAATATTGATTAAAATGTTAATACCACCAACTACGGTAATCTGTTAGAGGTGCTCTATCCAGCAGTAGAATGGTGATAGGCTTTACTGATGATTGGGGTATCAATTATTATTGAATATTTGAATAAATTTTACAGGCTTCTATTTTTAAACTTTCGGTTACCTACTTAATTTTTTTATCTGTGTATTTGTGTGTTATATTTACTCATTTACATCTTATGAATATTATTCTAATATCTATAATGGCGCATACTTGTACTATTTACGAATAATAGTTTAATAGTAACATTTAGTAAGATTCCAAATTATAATAATTAACTCATCATGCTTCTTTTAATGATTCCTCACATCCATGTGGTACCTTCCTTTTTACGTCAGTCCATTTACATACTTACACTTATGTTTAACACATATATTTTTTTTATTTTTTCCGTTGCTTTTCGTTTACCTACATAAGCTCTGAGACACAAAGTACATAGACAAAATACTTACATATTAGATGTATTATATATGAATATTCATATGAATGTACTTTAATTACGATTAATTATTTTGAAAAAAGTCCCCCTTTGGCATAAAGCCTTATATAACATTATGGACTTATTAAATTTAGCACTAGGACGGATCCTGATATCGTTCAATATATTTATAATTGATTTGGGCCGAAATTATATAATTTTCTATAAGAGACACCAATAGCATTAACAGATATAAGCATACAGATTAATTAGTGATAAGTTATTTCTTATTTCTCTTACCTCTCTACTCTAATTGAAATGTTGAGACTAGAAATCTTTGCTTCAGTGATATTTCCTACAATTATTGAGTTAACCTTAGTATGTAATGTATATGTAAAGTAGAATTTTATATATTAGTACTAATTTTAAGAACCCTGCAACGAGCAGTCTGAGAGAAGAATTAAAAGTATAATTAGAAGGAGACCACAGGTGTGGAAATAAATTCTTATTTTGTTGGACCACATAGAATACATACAACGCTTACAAGCTATTTACGACGAACTTATATGTATATAAAGGATAATAAACATTATTTTTTTTTTAATTGATTATAATAGGTTTTTTTTATAGGATGGCAAATGAGCACACAGTCCACCTGATGGTAAGTGGTTGCTGCGACCCATAGACATCTACATCTATCCTCTGTTACAAATCAAAATGTAGATGCGTTGTCACCCGTGAGGACTAAGATGGAATGCCTCATTTCCAGTAAATAGGGCCTCCGGCCACCTGCACTCACCAAGCGAAACGCAGAGGTAAACCTCTACTTCACGCTGGTTTTCTGTGAGGTCGTGGTACTACCCCGGTTCGAGCCGGCCCATCCGTGCGACAATAAAAGCTGCCGCGTGGCTCTACCACTGTTAAGTATCGGAATCCGTTTATCAAAGCCCAATTGCCGTTATTTAAGACGGAATAACTTTTTAGAAAGCGCTGCAAGTATCTTCTAAATATTTTATACGTATTTTCATTGCTTTTACAATTTTTTCCAATTCATCATGAGAACTTTCGAGGTGATTCATACGTTCTTCATAATCAGCAAAGGAACTGTAAATGTCGTTTACCGATGAAACATCTCTGCGGGATCGATGCTTTTCACCATCGTCATCTTCACCGCAACTATCGCAATCTGCCCAATAACGTAAATCCATTGATGGCAAATCATCGCATGAAATTAGCCCATCCTGAACTTCTGGTAACAAGAAAACGTTTTCACCAATAGTATCAATATTGTCTCCATTATCGCACAGAATTCTAGCCAAGCTCGTTTCCTTGATTTGTTGCAATTGTTGTGGTTTAAAGTTTGTAGGGTTTTCATACCAAAAACGATCCCCATCTCTTAAGCGCCGGAACTGCTCGATCAAAATGCATCTGAACAAGGGTCCAACTTTTCCTCCCTCTACTTGATCTTCTAATATACCTCCTACCCATACGTCAATATTATGAACGGATCCATAAAGTTCCTCGAGCTTATCTCTGACATTTTTATCTGATATTTCAGTTGCCAATTCGTCAAAAGTGTTCACTTCGGTCATATTGCAAAAGTCTCGCCATTTAGTATACGGAGGTAAACCGTGATCACGGCCTCTTTGGATATTAATTGCAGCCAAGTCGAGAGCTACAGCATGTGCAGTATGGAACAACTGCTCAGTAAGTTCAGAATTAAGATTTTGCGTAGGAGTCTTTAGTTTTGCAGGTGTCGTGAACATACCTCTCAGCAAAGGATCTACTCCACCTTCGTCGACAAGCCTCCATGGAGAGAAAAATGCGTAACGCAATAGTAAATGGCCTTGAGGTATTGGCTCAAAGTTTTCGTCGTAGCGATGGAGAACGGGATTGATCATGGAATGACCGAATCTTAGAGCTGCAGTGGCGAAGACATTAGAAATAGATGGATTAATTTTGGAGTTATATCCTTTGTATTCGCCCAGTTGTTGAACACCCTCGGGGCCAAGAACCAACGGTAGCCAGTGTTCATAAGTAATGAATTGTATTTCGGCACCTACAATCTTGCGAGCTTCCTGATAAACTCTGTCGCCATCCCAGAATGGATTAATAGCTTTCAGCTTAGTAGCAATCCGATTGTGTTCTCGCATAAAAATTGTATGCATTGCTGCCAGTCCGATTTGTTCATTAGCCCTAATATCACCTGCTACAAAGCAGTTGCGATTACTTTCTTCCAAATTACGTCTGCAGTCCATGCCATTTATACCAATTGTAGGCAACAATGGTTTTCGTCCTGGGAAAGTAGCCCCTACACGCAATAATCCATTTTCATTAGTTAAGTCTCGTAAATCTTCGGCTACAGCTTTCTCAAAGCCATATACTTGAGAAGCATCAATAAAGGAAGTTAGTTGGTTGATTTGTTCTCTGGGTTGCAACTTTCCAAACAATACGGAAGTCATTCCCGAACCACAAACTGAACTTGTCCTAATGAAATCAATGCAACGACGGTTACTAATACGTGGATCGCCTTCTGGTACATCAATGGGAAAACATGGTGCAGCATAATCGCAAGTCTTCTTACAATCTACACCATCCCAGGTTTGTGAGCTTACCGATGGAAGCGCGTGATCTAAATCATGATCTAACCATTGCCCCCACTGCATAACCATATGACTTATTTCGATATCCTCTGATATTTCTTTAGTGGAAATTATAGCAGTCGATATGAGCCGTGCACTCGGCAAATTATATCCGTTATATTTGATGTTTTTATTCCAACCGACTGGTTGACTAAATCCATTTTCGTATATGGGAAAAAGTATTCTGCGAAAGGCGCTTAAAGAAGTGCCCCAAGTAGGATGAGCGAAATTGTTACAGCTGCCATCTACACTTCGATATTTCATATGGAAGCACATATCTGAACAGTCTTTCTCCTCCCTGTGTGCGACGCAACCAGATAGCCGAGCAATCACTTCTAAATGTTGTCTCGAAATTACTTGTTCATAATTAAACGGTTCAGCGGAAGTAACCTTTAAACCTGACTGTATGAAATCTCTAACTTTCTCCAAAGTTCTTTCATATATTTCTGCAGCGCGAGCAACCTCTCTTGCGGGAGCGTTAGGAAATCGTGTGATTCTATATAGATCATGCAGGTCCGCTTTGGAGCTTTTGTTTTTAAATAACTGTTCCATAGTTCTAGCTATAGCTTGATCAACATCTCGTGTCGCTTCCGTCAAAGCTATATTGACGTATTCGTCACCGGGTAGAATGTGATCCTTAACTGTTAAAAATACCGAGACAGTATCTCGGCCATATTCGTTAAAAGCTGAGCATTCATAGCGACCAGAATCAGTAATTGTAATATTGTTGATAATTAAGCTTCCGATTACCGAAATAGAAATTCTATCATTAGGCTCTATTCGCGATCCGTCTTTTCTCCATTCTATTGTCGCTGGTGGTTCTCCTTCCACTTCACAAGGCATTTGAACAGAAGTCTCCTTAAATGCATCAGTATCTTCCGGTTTTAAAATGATCTTAGGTGGTATGATTTGCGCTTCTTCTACTTTAAGAATTGCAGATATTTCGGTTAGCCCTTCAGAGTTTTCTGCTCTACAATGATATAGTCCATCATCATCGGTCGTTACTTGGAGTATTGTTAAATTTTGATTGTTATCGGAATAAATTATGTTTTCGCTTGATGGCAATACCATTGTGTCTCTATACCAGGTAATTACCGGTTTTGGTGCTCCTCTTGCTGTGCATCTAAATTCAGCAGTTTCTCCTACAGTTACAACTTGATCTTTTGGAACAGTGATAAAGGCGGGAGCCACTGAAACAATAATATCAATAAAGATTTGTTAGTGAGAAATACGCTAAAATTATTTATTTCTAAAACATGTGACAATCCTTTGTCACTTAACCACAGTCTTTCAGACTTTCAGTCCACTTGATGGTAAGTGGCTTCTGTAGTCCATGGACACCTACAGCTAACTTAAAAGAAGGCTTTAGATGCGTTGTCATGTCTGAGGATGTAATGCCTTACAGTATGTAATTACTTTTCATATCTGAACACTGTAGTTCAGGCACTTCTGTTTGGCGCCAGAAATAAGGCAAGAAGGAGTTACCCACCCAGATGGACTCTTAGACAGAAAAGGAGTCCTAGCACATGGCAAAATTTGATTACAAGACAAAATTATGAACTGTATAACCGAGTTGTTTCCGGTGTCAATCTTGTACAGGACTCTTATATACGACCAAATATATAAACTAGGGAATGTGCAGACTATGCACAAAAAGGCACCCGTGTCGACGCTGCTAACTATCGGCCAATTTCAATTATCTCCATGGTCTGCAATATTATATTGTATTGGATATTGATACTACGTATATTGAACGTCCATCTCATGACTTCTCATTATCGACCGCTAGTTTGGGTTTCGCCGAAATCGTTCAAAAAAGAAAATTCTCTTGTATGAAACGTGGCCCTCGAAGACATTGGGGTGGGGTAGCACCTGTTGTTTCCCTTGATGTCTTGAAGGGCTTTGTCATTGTTTAGCGTGCCAGCATTTGGCTATGTTTCCAGGGTATGGTTCAGTATAATGCGAGCATTATGATGTCTTTCTACAATTTTATTATCAATATATTTTTAATTTATATATTATAAATGATAAAATACAGCCCGTAAGAGAAGCTATGGTTGTTCATAGAGTACGACGCCAAAGCTGCCACAAGGAAAGTAGGTGCCTTGCCTTGCCAAGGTGCGGCAGTACATCACATCACACCAAGAATAGTGATCATAATCTTGGTGTCTCCGAAGCAAGAGTGAATGGGCTTTTGTTACGCAAATCATAGGGATTTACCATCTCGGGATTCATCACCGCTTACCACTCCACTAGATGGAATTGTAGTCAGCACTTATTTATAATAAGCAAAAAAAAATCTTACCCATAACTTCCAGAACCGCTTCAGCTGTAATTTTTCCCTTTACATTTTCAGCATGACAAGTATACTTTCCAGCATCCGTATGTTGTATTTTTTCAATTACGATTGAGCCGTTATGATGCATGGTTATGCGGTCTGTCAGCAACATTCTTGCCTGGTTGAAATACCATACTATGTGAGGTGCAGGATTTCCCTTAGCAACACAATCAAATCGGACATTTTCGTTCAGTCTAGCAATTCTATCGCGAGGTAGAATATTAAATACAGGATAACCTAGAAAATAAATAAGAATTAGTGTTTGCATTAACAAGGTACGTAAAGTGAAATCGTTTTATGCAATTTCAAACAAATACCGTTTTGGTCCGGTTTGCTATGTACCATCATTTTTGCTGGTTTGGACATTGCTTCTCCTGCAGGATTTTTGGCTCTACATTCAAATATTCCTACGTCGTTCTCATCAGCGGCATGCACCATAAGCGTACCGTTATCCATTATTTCATAGCGATGTGTATTAAGCGGCACGGTAGAAGAATCTCGCAACCACTCAATTTCAGGTGTCGGCTCTCCAGATACGACACACGTAAACATGGCATCATCGCCGAAGTTCACCACTACGTCTTGAGGGTCTTTCATGATTTCCGGGCGTTCTGAATTTTAAAAGCGTCATCAACAGTTTATTTTAGTTAGGAGAAAATGTACAAGAAAATTGGCAATGAAACAACAAACTTAAATTAATGAAATTAATAAGCAATGTTAGTCGTGTAGTGACGGAGCGTAAAAGATACCAATGCCCTATATCGACCCGAGGGTCGCGTAAGAGGCGACAGAGAGAAAAAATAACAAGAGATGGGCAGCAGCATCTTCCTGATAACTTCCCGGTAACTGGCTGAAATCCTCCCGTCAGGCAGTCCATAGGGGAAGCCTGTACTCAGGAGTGGTGTTTTGCTAAGCTTTAAAGACAATAATTTTAGCGTGTTTTGTTAATATCTAGGCTATCAAGCCGACGCTGGGGTTCTGTATTCCCCCCCCCCCCCCCTTTAAAGCTATAGATTTTTGACAGGCTAATGAATGACGATTTCTAAAGCAACAAATTAATATTCTATCATAGAAAAGTTTAGATCACACAGCCAAATGCCTGCCTAAACCCGGCATAAAATGTGTTATGGAAGAATTGCCTAATTAATTTTCTTAAATTACAATTAAATGGGTTGGGTGGCTCCACTAGATGTAGTGACGACCTGGACACCACATGTCTTAACATGCAGGAAGTCGATGGATGCAGGTGGCGCTGGACCGTGTTTTGTGATGATGAGTTAGGGTTATGTTCAGCTGTGAACTTTTGAAGGGCTGTAACGATATTGATAATGAGGATAAAATAAACTCATTTCCTTAATTCTTCTGGCGAGTGTCACACAAGGCGACTTAGCGAAATGGCTGGGCGATCATGTTGGTGATAATATATCCATCTCCCTAATTATACCAGTCATGAAATTCCCAGACCGGCAACGAAAAGCACGGTTATAAGTATGAAAAATGTGATACTAATCCGTCTATCCCGTAGCCTGTGGCCAAAAGGCTTATGTTCAACAGTGGGGCTGATTACGAGTTATGAAGAAGAACCTACAATATAAGAAAAATCTTTATATATAAAAATTACGTGCAACATTGTTCGTTCGAGATGAACTCTTAAACTACTGAACTGATTTCAATGAAATTTTGCACACTGTGTGCAGTTTGGTCCAACTTGAGAGATAGGATAGTTTATCCCTATAAGTGAAACTCAATTTTTTATTTGAATTTAATGATTTTCTTAGGACACTGGGTCGTCGGAAAGGGCAGAACAACGTTTGCCTGGTCAGCTAGTAGGTATTTAAATAAAATATAATACAAAGTACAAAATACTTTTATAACTGGTATGTTTGAACCTTTAGACATATTATGATAAGCGGAAGTGCAAGAATAATGAAGTTCTCACTTTAAAATATTTAGGGCTGATTTTTGAATCATCGTATGAAAGTAGGTACATATATACACAATGAAATAAAATAGTACGTTTGTAAAGTATGAATAAAATAGTTCAAATGTCAATGAATGTCATATTCAATATCATTCTTCATTAAATATCATAAATTGTACAAAGAATGACAAACATGTGAACGAAAACGGTAACGGTTGGTAAATATCAACTCACGACAGTTGAAATCTTGCTCCTTCATAGAGGCTAAAGAGGCGCCGGTGGCACTAGCAGGCTCATAGCAAGTCGCGGCAATCTCCATGGCACGGTGTTCTGATAGCATGCGGACAAACCAGAGCATCGAACAATCGCAAACTAGAGCATTGCTGTCTAAACGCAACTTGCGTAAAGTAGACAAGCCACGGAATGAGCCAGGCGGGATTCTCTTCAAGTGATTGTTGTGCAAATACCTGAAACAAATATTGAATGAATAAGGAGTATAATATGCAGATGCCTTAACATAGGCACCTACATCTTAACATAATGGATGTACTGGAATATATACGTATTAGAATTTTGTACGTGGCTATACTGCAGCTATATTTTAGCTTGGATCGGTTCGACCGGGGTAGGACCACAATTACAGTAACGCATCTACGTTTATGATTCTTAATTGAGGAGAAATGTAAGTGTCTATGGTCTACAACATTCACTTACCATCAGGTGGACTGTGTGCTCACTTGTGACCCTTATTCTAGAAAAAAAATGTCTAATGCCAATTATGGTCTTCGGAATAAAAGAGCACGAAAGATATATAGGTAAGTAATTGATCAATGTTAAAGGTTATCACTAAAACTTCTTTGTTATTTATTTTTACTCAGGGTCTATTACTGAACTAATATATCTTTGAAATCTTTACATAAGAGCAAGTGAATGATGCATAATGCGAGTCTGAGTATGGCAGTTAGGACAGTTTGACTTTTGTATTAAATATTATAAAAGAAGATACCACGGCTTATATACCGATACGTTGGTCAATGTCCGATCTACTGCTCCCTATTAAAATATAACAGGTATGGTGTATTTGAGCTCAAAGAATTTCTAAGAGGGTGACACTGAAAGTTCTTAGAAAATCGAAAACTGAAAAAACTAGTAAGTTATTAGTTTTATTATATCTTTTCAAAATGTCCATTTACATCAATTCATTGCTGTACCCGATGGAACTACTGAAAAAAGCACTTTTCCCACTCTTCCTTAGGGGTGTCTTCGACGGCATTTTGAAATGCAGTCACTGCTTCCTCGGCGTCCATAAAACGTTTTTCTCGAATCGTAAAGTGCGAGGTTGGAGCTATAGGGTGGGTGACCCAGTAATTCCACGTTTGACGTCGCCAAGTACTCGAGTGTTTGCTTGGCGGATTGCGACGAGGCGTTATCGTGGTGAAGGAGAATCCTACTGCGAGGTCGTTTCTTCCGAACTTTTTCCAAGACAAGTGGCAAACAATTGTTAGTGTACCACTCTGAAGAAAGTGTTTTTCGATCCTCTAATACAATTGTTGCGTAATGACCTGTCCTTCCGAAGAACGAGGCCAACATCTTTTTTCCCACGCTTCGACCTCTCTTCACTTTAGTTGGCAACTCCTCGGAAGGGGATCATAATAAATCCAGCTTTCGTCACCCGTAAGTATGTCGAACAGCATTTGAGTCACCTCCGTTAAATCTTTGAACCATTTCACAATACCAATCAACAGGACGGAGTTTTTGGGCCTCTTTCAAGTTATGAGATATCCACCGGGCACAAAGTTTCTTGACCGCTAAATGTTCATGGAGGATTTTATGCACTTGACTCATACCGATGCCTAAGTTTGTTCGAAACTGCTGATAAGACACTCTTTTGTCAGTATCTATCATACGCCGTGCAACACTGATGTTGTCTTCAGTCGTCGCCGTAGAAGGCCGTCCCTCACGCAGATCATCGGTGAGATTAGTGCGAACACGTTTAAACTCATTAAACCAGTTGTAAACAGTGGCACAGGATGGGGATTCATTGTGAAAGGCCAATCGAAGTCTATCATAACTTTCTTGTTGACTTAAATGACATCGAAAGTCATTAAAAATCACTATACGAAAATTTTCTCGCGTTAAATTAATGTTGACGTGACACAGACAATTTTAAATTTGCCACCAAATCGAAATGACAAGCTAATGAAATGTATACACAATAATATTGGCAGAGTTCCATTTTCTTTTCAATTTGAACTTATTTTTTTATAACGTTATATAATTAACGCGTCTTTTCCGGTACTCCTACTCCCAAGGCGTAGTCCCGAATTCATGGAAGACAGCTTTTGTCCACCCGATCCCTAAAAAAGGCGACCGCTCAGACCCATCCAACTATAGGCCTATCGCGATCACCTCCTTGTTCTCCAAAATAATGGAATCCATTATTAACTGCCAGCTCATCCGGTACCTTGAGGATCACCAGCTGATTAGTGACCGCCAATACGGTTTTCGTCGGGGTCGATCTGCTGGTGATCTTCTGGTCTATCTGACCCATAGATGGGCGGAGGCAGTAGAGTCCAAGGGGGAGGCGTTGGCCGTTAGTCTGGACATTGCGAAGGCCTTCGATCGGGTTTGGCACAAAGCGCTTCTTTCGAAGCTCCCTTCCTATGGGCTTCCCGAGAAATTGTGCAATTGGATCACCAGCTTCCTTGCAGATCGGAGCATCAAGGTCGTTGTAGACGGTGCATGCTCTGACTACAAGCCTATTAACGCTGGTGTTCCACAAGGCTGTGTGCTATCACCAACGCTGTTTCTTCTGCATATCAATGATATTTTGCTAACTGGTAACATTCATTGCTATGCGGATGACAGCACTGGTGATGCTCTATACACCGGCCGTGCCAATATTTCTCGGGAAAACGTCGCTGAGTACCGGAACAAACTTGTGTCTGAAGTCGAGTCTTTGCTGAACAAAGTCTCGGATTGGGGGCGACTAAATCTAGTCCAATTTAATCCTCAGAAGACACAAGTTTGCGCGTTTACCGCTAAAAAGAACCCCTTTGTCGTATCTCCTCAGTTTCAAGGCACTCCCCTTCTTGCCTCAGCCAGTATCGGTATCCTCGGAGTCGACATATCGAGTGACGTGCAGTTTCGTGGTCACTTGGAAGGGAAGGCCAAATTGGCCTCTAAAAAGCTTGGCGTGCTCAGCAGAGCGGGACAGTATTTCATGCCGGCACACCGCCTGCTACTTTACAAGGCGCAAGTTCGGCCTCACATGGAATACTGTTCTCATCTCTGGGCAGGGGCTCCCCAGTGCCAGCTCCTTCCACTTGACCGCATCCAACGCAGAGCGGCTCGAATTGTCGACGGACCGAGCCCTTTCCGATCGGCTCGATTCATTGGCACTGCGAAGAGATGTTGCATCCCTTTGCATTTTCTTTCGCATCTACCATGGGGAGTGCTCTGAGGAATTGTTCGGATTAATCCCAGCCGCCAAATCGCGGCAGAACTCCCGATACCATCCACACCATCTGGATGATTGGCGGTCCACCACTGTGTGATTTAGAAGATGTTTTCTTTCTCGCACGACCTCCTTGTGGAATCGATTACCATCAGCGATTTTTCCGGACCGATACGACTTAGGGACCTTCAAGAAAAGAGCCTACTCCTTTTTAAAAGGCCGGCAACGCATCTGCGATTCCCCTGGTGTTGCAGTTGTTCATGGGCGGCGGTAGTCACTTACCATCAGGTGAGCCGCATGCTCGTTTGCCCCCTCTTCTATAAAAATAAATAAATTATATCGTTTACAAGTGGTCAGTTCTAAAAACTTTCAGTGTCGCCCTCGTACGTCTTTATTTCACATTGATCTTAATACTTTGCATAGACTATTAAACTTGAAACATAGTTAATATATAAAACAGTGGAGTAGCGTGCCTTAAAGGGGCCCTGTATCAAATTTTGTCGGGGGGCCCAAATGAAGGGTAAATATTTTTCACAAAAGGAACAAAAACTCTCGCATTGAATTAAAATAATTATATATTGATTATAAGTTATTACTTACAGTTAATACTCCTAGGAACTAAGCTAGCCAAACCATTCCAAAAATAGAAGTACTTAGAATTTTTGCTTGCATACGTTCGGAGCCTCTGGAGCCCGGGGGCCCCGTATCATTGATATGGCTGATAACGGCGGTAGCTACGCCCCTGATATAAAACTAACTTTCTAGGGAAAAAAAGCTAATCTTATTGCACCTTTAAAAAGAGAATGTTAAATCGACATCCAAATGCTTATTTATCTTGGAGATTATCATTTTGTAGTAAGATGAGAATTTGAAAAGATTTTTGAGATAAAATCATTTACTGTTTGAACTTTTAAAGTTGATTAGAAGCATTTTATTAGAATCGATTTTAAAGTCCCAGTAACATATTTGGATTAATGTCAAAATTTGGGGGAAAATTAATGATCTTTCCTAAAATAAATCGATAACACAAAGAATAAAATCGATATAGGCTGTATGGTACATTTGTCCTTTGTCTATCAAAAAAAAAATATGAAAGCGCCTTTAAATTTTTAATAGCAATAAAACTTATAACAATTGAAAATCATTTTATTAAGAAACTACGCGTACTAGGCTATTGATATAAAATAGGAAACCAGTTGATGTAATTCTGAAGTTAATAAAAAACCGCGGCCTCGATACGTCAATTTTTTCGGGAGTTATCGTGACCACATACAAAATCATCATCCGGACGTCCACGTAAATTTTTTTTTTCAACCGTCTGTTTTTCAAAGTAGCAAATAATTTTTAAGAAAATACAAGATGGATTAATTAGTGTTTTCTTGATATACGGCTTACTCATATTATCGTATAAGTGCAATATGGTTATGATAGAGGCATTTTAAGAACACAAAATTGCTTGACTTTGACGTGTGTAAAGCACAACCTAATAAATCTTCGCGTCATGAGGCATGCAATAATGCAGTCTGAAAGCAAATGTCAAATTATGCAGATGCAGTCCTGTAATTTTTATAAAATAAAGGGCCAGGTTATAATTTAATCGACAGCGAACTTTCATCTGACGATCGAATATATGTAATTGGCCCTAAATTAGACATCTATTTCATAAGTAATTCACTTTTGTCCCAATGAAAAATGTTTCACTTACAATCTTTCAAGTCGTGGCAGGTGTGAGAAGGTTTCAGGTTCGATTTGGTGTATTTCGTTGACGTGTAAATAACTGAAAACAAAGCAGTAGTTATCGTATTGGCATATTAAAACCAATGTAAATAATAAGTTTGGTGTGCCCAGTTAGTGGTAACTGGGCACACCAAGTCGTTGCAGGTGTAGTTACTATGTGTTACGACTCATTTTCTCCCAAGGAGTACGTTTGGGAGGGAACCACCCTTTTACCTATCTATCGCCACAAACATCAGTGCGTAAAATGCTGTCTTTTGGTCTGTAGGTTATAAAGAGCGGGTATAGTTATAGACTTATAGGCATTCCATCTAGGTCTTGTCTTGTCTTGTGACGGGTGCATCTGTAGTCTTATATGTTTAAAGTTTGTTGCACGTGTCCGAGGGCTGCAGTAGCCACTTTCCATTACGTGGACTGTTAGTTCGCTTCTTATTTCAATTTTGTAAAAAATAATTCAAAATTAAAATTTTGTACAACCGACTTCAATATAAATTATTAAAAATAATTCAAAAACTATTAATCAGACCGTGATCAAATTACATACTGGACCACATGTGAAGCACCAGGTTTCAAATAAAAAAGAATCATCCAAATCGGTTCACCCAGGAAAAAGTAATAAGGTAACACACATAAAAAAACATACAGTCAAATTGAGTCCTTTTTGAAGTCGGTAGAAAAGACAAAAATGAAACATAAAAAAGGTCACACATTACGACAAAATCTAGTAAGCTATTAATAATAATGGACGCGTTTTATTAAATATTTGAAGTGAATTATTACAGCTACCAACTAATAAAAGCTCATTTGTTAAAAAAAGAATTCACATATATATACACATATATATATATGAGTGCGGGAATAATATCTGTGATGAAGGAGGTTATTCTTCTAAAGTAAGGGAATTATGACTGCCATAAAAGTAAGGTACTCATTATACGAGGGTGGATTGAAAAGTACTCGGCCTAACCAAGAAAATAAACAAATACTAAATCAGTTATATTTTTATTTTTCTACATAATCACCATCAAGTTCAATACACTTTTGCCACCTCCCCTTCCAAGCATTTAGACCGTTGAAAAAAAATGATTCTACCTTAGAGTCAAAATATGCGTCTACAGCTGCTTTGACCTCGTCGTTTGTCGAAAATCTTTGACCTCCCAAGTGCTTTTTTAGGTTAGGGAACAGAAAGAAGTCTGATTGTGCCAGATCAGGTGAATACGGCGGATGCGGTAACAGTTCAAAGCCACAGTTGTGAATTTCAGCCATTGACTGTACTGACGTGTGAACACGGGCGTTATCTTGATGAAACAGGACTTTTCTTCTGAGCATTCCTCGACGTTTTTCTTTTATTTCCTCTCGTAAATGACGTTGTAAGGTGCAGTAGTAATCAGAGTTTATATTCTGACCCCTTTCAAGATAATCAATCATAATCACACCTTTCGAGTCCCAGAATACTGAAGCCATCACCTTATTTGCCGACAAAATCGACTTAGCCTTTTTAGGGGGTGGTGAACCAGGTCTTCTCCACTGTTTTGATTGTTGTTTTGTTTCCGGTGTACAGTAATGAACCCATGTTTCGTCCATAGTAACAAAACGATTCAAAAAATCATCTGCATCGGCTTCAAATAACTCCAAACAGTCGCGTGAAGTAGTCAATCGCGTCCTTTTTTGTTCAACTGAAAGCAGTCGCGGAACCCACCTCGCAGACACCTTGTGGAAACCCAACTCGTTGACAATAATGTTTTGAGTTCGTTCATAAGAGATGCCTATAATCTCGGCTATCTCTCTAATTTTTAATCTGCGGTCTCCCATTATTAAATCAAGTACTTTTTTAATATTTTCGTCAGTAGTTGACGTCGAAGGCCTTCCAGAGCGGGGTTCATCTTTCACACTCTCTCTACCACGCTTAAATTCTGCTATCCATTTTTTGACGGATGAATATGTCAGAACACAATCGCCTAATGTACTGACCATGTCATCATGGATGGCTTTTGATGATAGCCCCTTCTTATGGAGGTACTTAATGACGGCACGCTGCTCGATTTGCTCCATTCGCGGAAATTATGTCCGATTACTTTGTTAATAAATTTATAAAATCACAACTAATTATCGCACACGTTTCGAACTTCACACAATGAACTAGTCTGAACTGAACTAAATAATGTGCGTAGATTTGATTTTTAGAATTGAACGGATCTATGTTAGGCCGAGTACTTTTCAATCCACCCTCGTAATTAATAATAATAATTTCTCTCGTTCTCTACATCCTTCAGACTATCCCAGTGCAAGCACTGCTACTTGGCGCCAGAAATAGGTAAGAGAGTATTGCCTGCCTAGACGGACAACTAGGTAGAAAACGAATCCTACTACCAAGAAAACGAAAACAAAAGATGACGAAAACAAAAGAAACTAATCAGGAAAGATGTTTTTAGCTTCATTATAATATGGTACGAGTATGTGTACAAACGTCATGAACTTTTCTCTAACATTTACTTAAAATATTTATTTCAAAAAAAGTCTTTAAAATTTTTGTAATACTCACAGCTGTTCGAGGTGTACCATACCCTGGAAAACATCGGAGTCGATGTGCTGGATACGATTACGATATAAGTAAAGGTATTTAAGGCGCCGGAGGCCATGAAATGCGCCGGAACGCAACTCCGTGAGCTGATTGTCGTTGAGTAGCAAGGAGCGTAGATGGTGCAGGTGAGAGAACACTCCTGGCGCTATGTCGAAGATCTTGTTGAAGCGGACGTCTCTGTGAAGAAACAAAATGTTTTAGAATTTTAAACAAAGCCAGCGCTAGTTTCTATATATAAAAATCAATTGCTGTTCGTTAGTCTCGCTAAAACTCAAAAACGGCTCGACCGATTTTAATGAAATTTTTGTTTAAATAGGGCCTTGGATGGTTTAGATTTATAAGTGGACCCGGTAGGTGGCGCTGTTGTCGAGGTCCAGAAATCACCCGTGCGAAGTCGGGGCGGATCGCTACTTAGCAATAAAAATCTTTGTAAATAAAGTTCCGGTGTGCGTGTATTCTTAATTACTTTCCTCCTAAAGGGCTTGACCGATTTTGATGAAATTTGTTATGGGTTCACATGAACGGTTCTTCGCTGTAGTTGGACCCGCTAGGTGGCGCTGTTGTCAAGATCCAGAAATCACCCGTGCGAAGCCGGGGCGAATCGCTACTTAGCAGTAAAAATCTTTGTAAATAAAATTCCGGTGTGCGTGTATTCTTAATTCTTTTCCTCCTAAACGGCTTGACCGATTTTGATGAAATTGTTACGGGGTCACATGAACGGTTGGACCCGGTAGGCGGCGCTGTTGTCGAGATCCAGAAATCACCCGTGCGAAGCCGGGGCGAATCGCTACTTAGCAGTAAAAATCTTTGTAAATAAAATTCCGGTGTGCGTGTATTCTTAATTCTTTTCCTCCTAAACGGCTTGACCGATTTTGATGAAATTGTTACGGGGTCACATGAACGGTTGGACCCGGTAGGCGGCGCTGTTGTCGAGATCGAAAAAAATGCTGCGGAGCCGGGGCAGATCGCCAGTTTTAAAAGAAAATAAAAAGTGTTATGTAATAAGTCGGTCGATGCTGGGCACAGACAATCTCTCGTTTCTAACAGAGTTTTTCTAACAAGACTACGCTCCGTTGGCCTAATATAATATAATAAAATACCTATTTACAGGGCTGCCTGCCCTGGTAATAGGTATTTTTAATATCTCAGCTAAGTAAGTTTCCTTACGATGTGTTCCTTCACCGTGTCAGTACGTAGCAAAACTAATATTCTTAAAAAATGACATCTACTACATGTACGTTATTTATTCATAAAGTAATTAATTTTAATTAAAAAAAAATCAACTATATTCACTTCATACAATAGTGTACATTAACCTTTGTTGAAAATAAAATTAAAATGAGTACTTCAATTATTATTCAATTTGTTTATATCGTGTCTACTCAGTCCTTAGTCAAGAGTTTTTTTATTGTGTTAAGGCGTTGATTAACTAACGTTTCTCTGGTGTATGCCTCAAATGATTTAATGTATATGTATTAGTTAATTTTTTTTGTTCCTAGTTTTTTATAGAATAAGGGTGACGAACTATATACTATATACATGTATACCTATAGTGCACCTGATGGTGAGATTTATTTCAATTATGTAATTTTGTGGAAATAGACTGTGTAGTGGCGATGTAAGAATATTCACTGCTCCATATGATCAAGTGGGTGTCGTAAGAGGCGCCAGAGGGAAACAAACCAGGTACGGGCAGCAGCGTCATAAAAAACTGCGGTTGCCAACCCTGCCAAGCGTGGTAATTATGGCGCCTATGTTCAGTAGTGGACTTTATTTGTGGAAGTAGTTTGAGCTGATATTTTTAAAAGCTGTGGTATTGCAGTGTCGGTGACACTGGGCGTGACTTTGTTTGCTTGAGGCACAATAAAATGTCCTGTATAGTTCATAAGAAGCCGTGATAGCGCAAGTCTAAGTATGATTTTAAGTTTCGTAGCACGCGTGCAACTCGCGTTCCATCGCAAGTTATACTTTAAATGCAATTTTAAGTGCCTGTTTACCATGTGCTTGGCGGCGAAGGAAAACACTGTGAGGAAACCCGCTTGGGAGAAACAAAATATTTCTGTAGTTCGCACACGTATTCACAGTAAATTACATAACGCTTTCAAAAATTAGAGGAGGCCTATGCCCAGCAGTGCTACCTATGTAGGCAGTAACTCTAAATTACTACCATTGTTCAGCTACTGCATTCCAGTATTGATATTCCCATTTTACGAAAAATGACAGTCATTATCATCATCATCATTATGGTTTTAATAGGATCTATTCTATTTACGATGTATTCATGCCCGAATAAGAACTACTGAAATGCAGAACTATATTTATTCAATATAGATTAATAGGTACTTATTGAAAGTAGTTTTTGCTTTTAAAACTTATTAGGAAATGTTGGACTTTATTACTTAGGTCACGGAAACCATTAATGCCATCAAAAACATAACTTGTAAAAAAAAACCAAGTCTCGCAACTCAGTTCTTCTACCGTAAAAAGTTGTGAGATCCATGTAATATCAAGTCGGTTAATTTATTCAGTTCCTACTTAAGGGTCCTTCTGTCTCAAGTTATTACGTAATTAGCTAATCTAACAACATCTTATAGTGACCAAATCAATATTAAAAACTTTTACGTTTTAAATAAATAGATTGACTTGTCCATCGCATGAAAACATAATGTATCTCACAAGTAATACATATTGTTATTGAATAAAATATTGATTTTGTTATTGAAGCCCATATAAATGCAGACATTAAACCGGCCGATAGGTGCACTCCAAATATTCCCGCTAAAACTCTGTTAGCCTAAATATGCGTGTTAGATTACGAATATCTAGCATGCCACCCCTAATTAGGCGCTCGAAATTTCCAGTATATTAACCATCAAACATTCGTGCGAATTCCTGCATGCTCCCAATATTTCCTTTCTGTAATAATATTTGTGTTAAATTCTAGAAATTATTAATTGCACTGATTGAAAATAATTTCTTATATGCGAATACTAAACATTGAATAAACCTTGTTTTATAATTTTACACCTTTAATTTAACTTACATTGGAAATGCCGAATTTCTCATATTCTCGAGGGAAAGAGGTGACGTCCTAATTCGTTAGATATCTCGGGCTACATTTAGCTTTGATTATTTATTTTCCAATTATGCGAGTACAGAAATCAAAGTAAAAATAATTGAACTTTTAAAAAAGTGATTGATAATGATTTTACCCTTTTAAATGGACTAAAGTATATTAAAATATCAAGGTAACAATTTAATGCTGTATAAATAGTTACATTAAAAACTTCCACCCTGACCTGACCATGTCTGAAGTATATAACAAAATTCAAACGAAATCGATTAACTATATAAAACAACATATGCATAGAATATAGAACCTTCTCGAATTATTGTAGGGACCATGTAAAAGTACACTTATAGTGTTCATATAATATATATAAGGGTTCTAGACCGTACTGTCCTACCAACCATAACGTAGATCAGCCACAAGGTAGCCTAATGGTACGGATTCCGACTGCAAACTTAGATAGTCGTGGGTTCGAATCCGCCGTTCGACTACTGTTGTGAACCACTCTTAACACAAGAATACCAGCGTGAAGTAGAGGTTTACCTCTGCGTTTCGCTTGGTGAGTGCAGGTGGCTGGAGGCCCTTTTTACTGGGAATGAGGCATTCCATCTAAGAATTCCATCTGTCCTCACGGGTGACAACGCATCTGCATTTTGATTCGCAAACGAGGATAGATGTAGATGTCTATGGGCCGCAGCAGCCACTTACCATCAGGTGGACTGTGTGCTCGTTTTTCACCCTTATCCTATAAAAAAAAAAACAAAAAAAAACAAGCATTTTAAACTTAGAATAGTTAAAAAGGATATTAGTCATGTTAATATTATTACTACTATTAATTTAAAAAAATAAACGTCTTGGTGTTAATATCACAGCGCGCGATAAATTGCAATTTAAAGTGCTGATTTACCACGTGTTCGGCGGCGAAGGCAATCATCTTGAGGAAACCTACACGACTGATAAATTAAAAACCATAATTCAAAGACGTGAAGTAAAAAGACGCCTTGGGGTGGTACGGCGCGCGCTTCTTTGCCCTAAGAGCTTAAAACCCTCTCAGAAATAAGTAGAGTACGCGACTGACCTATCTAAAAAAAAAAGATTGTAATTTCACTTTACAACAACCATATACTTCTAAGGCTTTCTTTTATTCTTTGAATTTGCTTATTTAAGCAGATATATTTAAAAATTGGTTCAGCTACTACCTTAGGTCCAGGTGATAAGTGTAGGTCTAGCAAATTAGAAACGGAAAGAAACTTGACTTTATCCTAAGTCTGTTTTTATGATAATCAAATAATATGATAGGTTTGTGGATCGACCAAAATTAAAAAGAAAATTTCTGGCCCTTTAAGTGTCAGTAATGCGAACTTAATGATTTATAAAAATAAATCGTACATACGATAAAAATATATTTGGAATATTTCAAGTGTCAATACACACGCATTCAACAATGTGAACAGTTTTTATCCTCAAAAATATATCAAGTCAATAAAAATGGAATAAGGTAAAAGTCTCCAGCCCTTTTCGAACTACTTACATTGGATATATTTGAGATATACATAAAAATTATGGGAAATCAAAATTTTATGTCACTTACAGAGTTTTGTTAAATGCAATGCTCCTTAAGCTCTGGTTTCATAGGATTGCGGTGCCGCAACATGACGGTCGTAATAAAGTGGTGAAGGACGTAACTATAAAGTTGTCTATGTTATACTTTCATCTGAATTCTCTGCTGAACATAGGCCTCCCCCAAGGAATGCCACAAAACACAGTTCTGAGCCACCTGCATCCATCGACTTCCTACATGTCTTACCAGGTCGTCACTCCATCTAGTGGGGGGACGCCCTACACTTCGTCCGCCGGTACGAGGCCGCCACTCGAGAACCTTTTTTCCCCATCAGCTGTCGGTTCTTCGAGCTATATGGCCGGCCCACTGCCACTTCAGCTTACTAATCCGTTGGGCTATGTCGGTCACTCTGGTTTTACTACGGATATCCTCATTTCTAAGTTTATCACGCAGAGAAACTCCGAGCATAGTTATCTTCTCTAGCATCTCCTTAGCTCCATAGCTCGCTGAGCAACCTTGAGCTTTTTTTAAATAAAACTAATTTTA